TAACTTGGAGAGGAAACTTAACTTGGAGAACAAGATAGAACCTTCTAGATTATGGGCTTCTAATGGGCATCCACTAATTGGGTTTATAACATTAAGGTGTGTTTTTAAAAATTTGGAAAAACTAGCGTTGGATTCTATGCCGCAAGTTAGATGGACCTATGGGCTCTAAATAGTGACTACAAAAAGAGAAAATAACAAAATGGGGAGGAAAATATCCATTTTTTAAAGGAAATTTTCAAAAATATCACACTTTAAAATTTTATTTCCAATAATATCATTATTTTTTAAATATTTCAAAAATATCGTTATTTGGTAAATGTTCCAAAAATACAACAAAACTAAAATTTACTTTCAACATTCAAAACTAAACCCTAAACCCAAACCTCACTCCCTAAAAACTATAGGCTTATTTTACAATACTTAACCCAAGCACAAAAATTTAAATTATAAACTCTCGAAAATCAATTTTTGTGTTTGTGGTATATTTTGGAACATTTAAGAAATGGTGGTATTTTTGAAAACAAAACTTCAAAATGTGGTATTCTAGAGAATTTTACTAAAACTTACACCATTTGTAAGAAATTTTTTATACCTATGATTTCTCTTCGTTATTTCTCATGTAGAGAATTATAGAACAAAAATATTGCCAATAAAATTTGAGAAAGAATAAGAGGGACTAATTTTTTTTACAATTCCTTCACATTTCTCAAATTTGGTTCATTTTCATTCATTTCATTCTTTTTTCTTATCATTACTTTTGTTCTTCTAGTGGTCACCGATTAGAGCTAGTTCCTTCAAGAACATCCGACCAATGACAAATAAGCAAGTTTGTTAAAGAAAAATAAGTAAAGCTTATTGTGGTTTAAATAAGACTCAATTATGTGTGTGATAATGAAGCTTTATTTCTAAAAAAAAAAAGAAGATAATGAAGCTTTATTTAGTTATTTTTTATGCACTTTTAAAAATGCATATTTATTTGGTATTTTTTTTTTGAATGAATAAACTAATATTTAACACGCTAATAATACTATAGAACCTCGATACAATAGATAATATGATAAAAAAAAAAATTTATTTGATAGATTAGATGATCACATAGAAAATGAGTCTAGTATATATAGAAAAATATTTACCCGTTTTACAACACTTATTTGACATGAGTAAAACAATTTCGAAATTTTATTTGACAAATTTAGATGTTCCTATAAAAAATAAGATATTACAGAAAAAATCGTATGTGTGAAAAAATTAAATGAAGAGATCAAATTGTCCAAAATGTTC